TTACTAATTGCTGAGAAAAACTCAGTGGGACTTGGGCATGTTTTATCGAACACAAACTTAAGCTAAAGAGATTAAAAATACATTTCTCAAGTATATTTTTTTTCACATGGAGTCACAGTTAGAATTATTTCTACCTCGTGTGAAATGATGTAGTCACCGTTGGGGCTTTTTTTTTTTTTTTTTGTCATATCAGCATTAGCTATTTAACAAAAGCAATTTTCTTACATGTGTCCTGGAGAGGTTCAGGAGAACGGGCAAACAGTTTGTTCTGTAATCTTATAATTTCTGTTGACACATGTTCATCACAGCAGGAAATATTCTGCCAGAGTGTCGTGTTTTTGGAACATGAAAAAATAAAGATGGGGGTGTGGCAGGACATGATGCAAGAAGTACACCATGTAGTGTGTTTTGTTTTCTTTGCAGTACTAAAAGGATGACAGATGAGGCTTTGCTGCTCAGTCACAATTGTGACTAAATTAGTTTCTGTTCACACAAATCATTTTTCTTGTCATTTTTTTTTTTACATTGTGTGGAGAAAGTTTGCAACATGCAGTGAATATTTGCATGCAACTTCTCTGGAACATCTCTAGAACATCTTGTCCCCTGTGACCTCCGCCTATACATAGTAATCCTTTTTAGTGAGGAGTGCAGAGTAAGGGTTGTAACACAGTTAATTTGACAGCCTGTCATTTTAACAGTTCTCCAGCTAATAAAATGAGCTACCATTTGTTGAAAACAAGAAAAGAAATGCTAAAAATGTTGAATGTTTATTCAAAACCATTTTACTCATCTAAAAACTGAAGAGCTCAGCCTTGTGTGTTTATGAAAAGATCTAAAATTTTCACCAGGTATGGGCTTCCAAAGATTACCCAAATGGCAGTTTTTACTGAAACCATGAGTGTATGTACTTCCATATGCATAGTTCCCCCTCATACTAGTGTAAACTACTAATAAATGTAACACTAATCTTTCTAAACTGAACCAGCACAAGCTGGAAGCTCTACTCAGATAACCTACAGAAATAACATGAGGGCCTTACAGTCCTGAGAGTTACTGATGTTGTATCTGACAGTATCTGTGCTTTACTATGGAAACTGTAGAGGACTGCCCAGAATGTAGATGTACTGTGAAGCTCCAGGACACAGAAATTCACATTCAGCATTTTAGATGATTAAGCAACCAACATGTTAGGCTGGATTACTGTAATTTTTTATAATTTGGATGTCTGAAAATGTTCTAAAAAGTCTTCACTTGAGTCAAAATCCTTCTGCCAGAGTTCTGATGAGTTAGGAGATATATCACATTTCTACAATGTTATCTTCTCCATTGACTCTCTGTAAAATTAAGAATATAATTGAACATTTTTCTTCTGTCAAACAAAACTAACAACCAAGCTCCATTTTATATTAAGAACTGTATTTTTGCATATTTCCTGAAAAAAACAAACAAAAACATTTTGCTCTCAGACCACAGGTTTACACGTGGTTCCTAGAGTTTCTAAAAGTAGAACAGAGGCAGCTCTTTCAGTTGTCCGTTATATCTGAAAACTCTTCCAGTTTCAATTCATGAGGCTGACATTCTCTCTATTTTCAAGACAAAGCTTAAGACTTTCCTTTTTGATAAATCCTATAGTTAAGGTTGATTAGTTCTTCCTGAGTTTTCCCTCAGTAACGCTGCTATAGGCTTAGACTGCTGGAAGGCAAACTGCCCACACTTCTTCTAATCAGTTACTTAGATTACAAGCATGTCTTAAAGACATAAAAACCTGGACGAGCCATAATTTCCTGCTTTTAATCTCAGACAAGACAGAGGCTGAGGTTTTTGGTCCTGAGCATTTTAGGAATAAATTTTGCAGTCTTTCACTTCCTCTGGATGGCATTAATTTGGCCTCCAGTTCTAAAGTTAAAAATCTTGGTGTTATTTTTGATCAGGATATGTCTTTTAACTCCTACATTAAACGTGCTACCGGGACCGCTTACTTCCACCTGCATAATGTCACTAAAGTTAGATGCTAAAATGATGCTGAACAACTGGTTCATACATTTATCACGTCTAGACTGGACTGTTGCAATGGTTTATTATCTGGATGTCCTGAAACTTCTTTAAAAAGTCTTCAGCTGAACCACAATGCTGCTATCAAGAGTTCTAATGAGAGTTAGTGGGAGAGATCTTATCTCTCCAGTTTTAGCTTCTCTCCACTGGCTCCCTGTCAAGTCCAGAACTGAATTCAAAATCTTACTTCTAACCTACAAAGCCCTCAACAACTTAGCTCCATCTTATATTGCAGATCTTATTGTTCCATACTTTCTTAACAGAACACTTTGCTCTCTGACTGCAGGTTTACTTGTGATTCCTAGAGTTTCCAAAAACAGAATGGGATGAAGATCTTTCAGTTATCAGGCTCCTCTCTTGTGGAACCAACTTCCAATTTCTGTTTGTGAAGCTGACATTGTCTACTTTTAAGATTAGGCTTAAGTCTTTCATTTTTTATAAATCCTATAGTTAGGGTTGGCTTGGGTTTCCTGAGTTATCCATTAGCTATGCTGCTACAGGCTTAAACTGCTGGAGGACAAATTGACCACATTTCCTCACTCTGCTGTCTTTACTTTCTCTACTCTACCTGTTTTGTATTTGTAATTATTTATATCCTTAACATGTATTTTTTTTTGTTGTTGTTGTTTGTCTTTCCTGCAATAGAAAGTACACCTGGACTAGTCATTCTTTGTTTGCTTGTTTCTCCTTCCTGTCATATCAAACTCTAGCTGGTTGAAGCAGATGGCCGCTTGTCTTAAGTCCAGTTCTGCTGATGATTTCTTTCTGTTAAAAGGGAGTCGTTCTTTTCCACTGTTACCAGTGTGCTTGATCAGGATGGGAAACTGTGACAATGTGAAGATTCAACACAATCTGCTGTCGTCCTTAGACAGAAAACTTTTACTAATTAGCATTTCATTATATACTGTACATAAATGTGCTGCTTTGTATAGGATTTAAAGGTTTTAGGATGGAATTTGGATGTAAATTAGATTCATGATTTGAGCTTGTTTGCTTCGTTTGATGACTTTTGCTGTGAAGTGGTGCTATATAATTAAACTAAACTGAATTGAACTGATTTAGGTTTACACTTCATAGCTTACAAGTTTTTATTTGGACCCCAATTCATTGGAAAATATTGCATTCACAGTTTTCTTTTCCTTTCCTGCAGTGTAGTCTAAGGAGCTATTTTGAAATGAATATATGACAAGTGTGCTTTACGCTTGCACTGCAAGCGAAGTGTTCTTCATACCTTGAGGCTGCTGCTGTGTTTAGACAGAGTGCTTCAGTGTTCTGTGAGGGACTGAACTTACGACCTCACTGAGAGAATGGCATGTTAAAAAGCTGAAATCCCTGCAGTGTGATTTCCTGTTGCTCTGTGGGAGAAAAACACATAGGTCAAAGTCCATTTCCTCATACAAGAAAGAATAAAAGCAACAATGCTAATAAAACTACCATTAAAAATAAAGCTAACTAATTAAAGGAAGATTTAATATGGACCAAAAATTAAACTACACATTTACAACCTGTAAAATTAAATTATGTCATTATAGATTAACCGTAAAGGGGAGGGGACTTTAAACTGTTGAACGATTTCAGCCAATAGCGTGCAAGTGCGTGAATCCAAAACGTGAAGACGTTGTGCTGCGTTCCCTTACAGTTGGTCATTTGGCTGCTCAGTTCACACTTGGTCATTTCGTCTGTTTTATTATTTAAATGCGAGCGCTTTTATTATGTTGCACCTTTTTCTTAAGACAGGAACAGGCTACATGTTATTCATTTTAAATGTAATTTAAATTATCCTGTGAAACAAATCAGTGAACAAGCAGCCAATGAAAAAAAATACAATACAGTACGAAAGCACTTTAAAAACAACACCGTTGACAAGTGCTGTACTGTACACTGGTAACATAAAAGCAAGTATAAAAAAAATAAAATCAATTGAAACCACAAAAGTAATGAATTGTTAAAAATAATAAAAACAGAAAACAGTAAAACCAACATTTCAATCTGAGTTAAAGCCAAACAGGGGGGAAAAAAGTTTTAAAACACAAAGAGCAGTGAGTTAAAAAAAGAAAACTACTGGTCAAGACTACATAAAAATACAGTAGTTACATCTTCTAAATGAAAAATAATAATAAAAAAGCTAAATGATAGCTAGAAGGTAAAAGTAACAAAATACAACCTGACAGAACTCTAGCTAAAAGCAGCAAACGTTATCTAAAAGCTAAAAACAAACAAACAAAAAAATTAAACAGATAAAGGAAATGAAAAGGGGAAAAGCTGTAGCACAAAGCACCAAATCACTAATTAAATACTAAAGTAGCCAAAGATAGCTAAAACCTCAAAAATAACAAAAGACTAACTAAAAGTTTAAGCAGCAATGCTAACTAAAAGAAGCAAGATAAAAGCCAAAACTAGAATATTGACTGCTAAAATCTCAAATTAGCAAAAGGCTAGCTAAAATATATAAAAGTAGAATGCTAACTAAAAGCTAAAAGTAGCATAAGAAGACAAAATAGATCAAACATAATGAACCCTATTTCAAAGGGAAGAATATTTATAGAAGAATTTAAAAATATATATTTGCATTTATGGGGAAAATGTTTGTAAACAGAGATAAACATTTTGAAAATTCTAAAAGTTAGAAAAATTATAAGTCTGCAAATTAAAAAAGTCAGCACAAAAGTCAGATAGAAAAAAAAACACCCATAACAAATAAAAACTTACGAAAATAAATCTGGAAAACAACATACAAAGTACAAAATAGGCTTTAAAGTCATGATGATACAAGATGTCATAATAAATATTAATTGCATTTCAGAATAATAAATATTTTACTCACAACAACACGTAGATATCAGTATAAAAATTACATTTTAATTTGAAAAAAAAAAAGAGTTTACCTTCTTATTTTAAAAGGAAACAAATGTTTTGAGAAACGAAAATCTACGAGTTACACTGAACGCATCACAATGGGCGGGTCTTGGGCGGTTCGGTTGTTCTTGGCTGTTCGCTCTGATTAGCTTCACCGGACGACACTTGTAACGACACACGGAGCACTTTGACCATTTAAGAAACCTTTAAGAGAGGTAAGACCTTAAACGTTCACTTTATACTTTTTTTGTGCGACCGAAGCGGCGAAAGGTTTATGTTGATAATAACTACAGTTTGTGTGGAAAGTATCCGGTTAAAGGCGGCACCACCGTGGATACGTGACCCGAAACACCAGCTCGGCGAGTTGTAACCTGTTACTAAAAAGTTTCCAAGGCTGTTGATGTTTAGTTATCACAAATACAATTTAAAAAAAACAACAACTATAAACATACATGTTTGTTCTCCTGAGCCATTTTATACCCGTGAACAAATTAATATTGGCATTTACTGCGCCTACCTATTTCATTACGTAACTTAATGATGTGGAGGAAACAGCTGCGAGCAAAATCTGAAACTTTTTATTTATTTGTTAAACCTGTTTGACCAGTAAGCACCGGGCTAGTTAGAATCGGATTCTCAACGCAGGACTTCCCCTGAAAGCAAGTGGATTATCGAAAGAGTGTTTTGAATAGTTTACCATGTTGTCTGGTTGAGTGGTCAAAGTCTGCCCTCTCTTCGTCTGCTGCAGATAACTGATAAAACATTTGTCTATCCCGAGGAAATTCCTTTCTCTGAGTCACCACACCCTGGTTGTTGTGCTGCTGAGCTCCTCAGACCTTCATCTCTCTCCTTCCTGGTCTGCACTACCACTGGGTTTTGTCATGGCTCAAAGTCAGACCTATTTTTTTATTTATTTTTCAACCCTCTTGAGATTACAGATTTCTTTTACAAGGGAGGCCTGGGCCACCTAACGTGCATGTTTTGGACTGGAAGGAAACCGGATGCAAACATGAGAACATGCAAACCCCACACAGAAAGACCCCAAGTCCAAACCAGGGCTTGACCCCATGACCTTCTCGCCGTGAAGCCGCATTGCTAACCAGTCATGCTGCAGAAAACTTGTTAATCTTAAACAGGACTCTGTGGTTTCTACACTCACAAGCACCCAAGCAGAAGATGGTGATGGGCTGACACATGTGGAGCCCAGAAGTAATGCTCCGAACTTATTTTTGATTAATTCGTTCAACCTTTATTTAGACAGGTTAATGCCATTGAGCCTCGGGGACTTATTTACAAGAGAGACCAGATTTCTTAACAAAGAGAGATGACAACAGTGAATAAAGACAACAATAGACAGTCATAAAATAGGCATACACATTTAAGTTACTCTTTTTACAAATCAAAACAAAATAGCAAAAAAACATCTAAGCTATAAGGCGATTTAGAAAACTAAAAAACGGGAATATGTCTGCATTGGTTTTTGCCAGGAACGTAACAGATGTTTAAAGTCACTTGGAGAGATCAAGGTCGATAGCTTCAGATCTTTTTGCAAGATATTCTAAGAAACAGGAACAAGGAGCGGAGAAGGCGCTTTTGCCTAGTTCATTCCTCACTGAGGGAACACTGCATGTAATAATAATGTCCTGAGAGCGCACGCTGTAGCTGCACTCACGCAGAGACATGTAGGAGGAGATGTATGAAGGCAACAAACCAAGAAGTGATTTAAAGATGAAAATGTACCAGTGGGAGAGTCTGCGTGAGGTTAGTGATGTCCAGTTAACCAGTGAATGCAGGGTTCAGTGATGGGTACGGTAGTTACAGCCACTTATGAATCTTAATGCTCCGTGATAGGCAGCATCTGCAGAGTGCTTGTAGGAGCGTTCATGTAAATAATGTCACCGTAGTCAATGGAGGGAAGGAAAGTTACAGTTACAAGGTGTTTCCTAGCATTCAGAGTTAGACAGGATCTGTTTCTGAAGAAGAAACCACATTTAACCCAACATTTTTCAGTCAGGTCATCTGGACAGTTTTTTTTTTTT